TGCAAAAGGGCAACTCTTCCACCTAGGCGGGGAGGTCAGTAAGGAAAGGACAAAGGGAAGAGTCCAGCACTGGACCCTTCTGGCCAGGAATACAGGAGGTCTTGAGACATTATGATAGGGGTATAGGTTGATCGAAGGGTTAGATGCTATGCTCTCATCTTTGTACACCCATTTCTTCCAGGATTGCACTTTAGTGGAGCAGTGAAGAGGAGAAGGGACTTAAAGGGAACCTGAGGAGGTCTGAAGACACTGAGATTAGTGGTCCAGCATCAGGGAGAATATGGACTCTTTGGAGAAGTCCAGCCTAATTAGGTGCATGCCCATTCTAGCCCTAAAAGGATGGCAAAAAGGCAGCTACAGAAAGCTGAGGATTCTTCATGGTCTTTGTATGAAGTGTGGGGGAGGACACAAAGTTTCTGAGTATACATTGGACTGACATAGTCAAGAGGCTACAGTGTTTACAGATATCAAAATAGGAGGCCAATGACCAGGATCACGTGCTCCAGTGGTGGAATCCAGAAATCTGAATATAGCCAGATAAAAGTATCACTCTGCCACAGAGATCAGCGAGGGCCCAGAGGACAATGAGTCCAACTGAGGACCCCTCTCCCTTCATGAGGTCATATAAGCTGTCCTTCTACCCTTGACTGATATTTACCTGGTATACACTAGTCTGGCCACACTGGTTATTTATGGCCAGTCTCTTCATTGACACTGGTTGTTAAATATTACTATTTTCAATATTGCTTCTATCCATATCCCATATTTCCAGAGACCATCGTAGAAGGAAAGTCATAACTTTAAAAGGTAAGGAATTCTATCCAAAGAGACTGAGCATTTACTTAAAGAGACTGTTAAATATTTGGATCAGACTCAACATATCAGGTTGGAATAAGATTAAGTTGCCCTTCCTTTGTTACTAAGGTGGAGAACCCATAAGGGGGATCAAATCCATTAATTGGATATAAACAAACTGTATTATTTCTGTATGCAATTCAATGAATTGCAACTTTGTGTCAAATTCTAGTGTACAGAATACTGGAACGATCTGAGAACTTCCATTAGCACTTAAATTCATTAGCATACAAAGGTCTACAAAAGCAGGGATTTCTGTCTATTTGGTTCGCCGCTGTATGTCCAGTACTCAGAATTAAGTGTCTGGCACATGGTCTGTGCTCAATAGGTATTTACTGAAGAGATTACAACTATTACATAAGGCAGACTTGCAAAGTGCCCTTAAGAATCCCAATACAATTTCAAAAAAACCCCACAGTGAATCCCTTGTGTCATCCATCTTAATCCATAGTTGTCAGCTCCCTCTAGGAATATTATATGCTCCATTTTAGGCACCAAGATTTAAGAGGAGCATTCATGAATAAACTAGAGAGGACCCATAAGGGATTGGGCAAGACAAAAAGAATTCTGAAAACCACCCCAAATAAGGAAAAGTTGACACTACTTCAGGAAAACATTATTATGAGAGATATGATGCTACTTCCAAATGTTAGGAAGGCTTTCATCCAGGATGAGTCTGAAATAAATGTATGATTGTATGTTCATAATTAGACCCAATGGGAAGAAGTGAATGGGCAAATTTTGGCCCAATGTAACAAAGAAACTTCTGAAACGAATTTTCAAATAATGGAATGGATGGCTTTGTGAACCAGGAAGTGATAGTTAATTATATATTGATTGTCTGTTGTCAAACTAATAAAAAAAAAGGATCATATTTACAAAAGTATTCACGAGAGCTTCATCAGTTTTGCCAGGGCCTCTCTTGATCCTTTGATATTTCAATGATTAGTTATTATATTAGTAATAACATAAAGCAATATCCTTTCTCTTTTGAATGACTCTTATTATGAAATTGGATCAGAAGAACTATCTTCCTCAGAAAATAGTAAACATTTCATTTCATGAGTCTATGAATTATACAATTGCTGTCAACTTCAATGTTATTAAATATGAAGTGAAAAAAATGTTCTCCATAATTTTGCTTTTATTTTTGAAGATGAATTTTAAAAGACCCCCCCATTTTGTGAAATTTGATCTTCATTTTAAGTAGAGTCAATTACAGTGGCCTTTGCACTAATTATCCTCACATAATGCAAACTTTTTGGATATTTCTGTCTCCTATACTGGAAATGCTTTTTTTCCTCTAGTTTTGTTAAAAATGGACAAAACATATTAATAAATGCTATATGTCTGCCTGAGTGACCCAGAGGACTTCAAAGGAAGAGTATCTTATTTGCCCCCAAGCATGTGCTCAGGACATTATAAATAATTAATGATTAATTCTTTATACATTCACTCTTTATTTATTCATTTGGGCAAGGTAGACACTGAGGACATGAGAATGATTCACTTCTCTCCCTCATGGAATCTGTAATTCTGTAGTTATTCTGAGTCAACATGTTATCCTTATTAATATGTTCAGCATGGAAATACCTTTTTATTACAAATGTAATATTTGCTCATTGTAGATGAATTCACAAAATAAGAAAGAGATAAAGAAGAAATCTAATATAATCTTACCACTGGGAAATAAAAGTCGATGATATTTGGTAATAGATGCTTACAGACTTTTCCTTCCTATGTGTCACATATAGTACATATATTTATGCATTTGGTACATTATATAAATATATATGATTTATATACATATATGCAGATATATATTCCTAAGTTATATAAGTATAGACATTTTTAAAAGATGTTTATTCTATACATATTATTTTATAAATTGCTTATCTCACAGATATTTTTAAATAAATATAGATCTATCTAGTTATAATGACTGAAGGGTATTCCATTATTTGTATATGTCATAATTTGTTTATCAAATTTTCTATGTTGATCTTTAGATCGCTTCTATTTTTTTTATAATTATTAACAATGTAATCATCCACACATACATTTTTATTTATTTATCCTTTTTTGCAGGCAAATATTTTATACTATGTTAAACTTGAAATTCTATCTTCTTGAAAACTTAAAAATTAATAATATTAACAAAATAGCCTAAACATGGAAAAAACAAGCAATGCTAATCTATATTGTTAGATGTTGGGATAATGGTTGTCTCTGGAGTCAGGTGTACATTTTGATTGGAAGGGGTTTTAAGTATATTTGAACTACAGTAGCCCTCCCTTATCTGAAGTTTCGCTTTCCGTGGTCTCAGTTACCCACTGTCAGCAGTGGTCTAAAAACATTAAACGTAAAATTCCAGAAATAAACCATTCATAAGTTTTAAGTTGCTTGCCATTCTGAGTGGCAAGCTGAAATCTCCCACCACCCAGCTCCATCCTGCCCAGTGCATGACTCATCCGTTTGTCCCGAGTATTCACACTGGAGATGATCCCCACCTATTAATCACTTAGCAGCCCTCTCAGTTATCAGATGTATTGGGGGCGAGAGCACATTCACATAACTTTTACTACAGTATATTGTTACAATTATTCTATTTTATTATTAGTTGTGTTTGTCTGACTGTACCTAATTTACAAATTAAAGTTCATCAAAGGTATGTATGTATAGGAAAAAACATCGTTTAGTTAGGTTTGGTTCTACCCCAGTTTCAGGCAACCACTAAGGGTCTTGGGATGTATCCCCTGAAGAGAAGGGGACAGAATTCCATGGGGGTTGATTACACAGTTGTCTTCTATGTAAAAATTTAACAAACTGTAGGCTTCACTTGCCCCTTCTACTTTCTTGTATTTATGTTACCCGTCAGTGAAAAAAGTTAAAAATTGTGTTACAATTTGCATCCATGTTTTAAGTCCTTTGGTAAATTCTAAGAATTAAATGCTATTATCATTTTAAGTTTTGACTCTCACCAACAATATATAAAATGTGATTTTTTTGCACTCAAATGAATGCTTATTATGATCATTTTCTAATTTTCCATGATTTACACATTTAAAAAATTGAGTATTTTCCTCTTTAACTTTTTATTTGAAAACATTTCAAACCTAGAGAAAAAGCTAAGAGAATAATATAGTGGACACCAACTTTACACTTTTTTGCTAAATTTGCTTTCTCTTTCTGCCTCTATTTACACACACACAAATATGCACATACACTTATATATGTATATGTGTGTGTATGTATATTTATTTTTATATTTCTGAACTTTTTGTAAAGAAGTTTTAGACATCACAACAATTTACCCCTAGAGTATCAGTTAAGAATAAGAATATTCTTTTAAATAGCCATATACGTTTGCCACACCTTTTAAAATGAACAATAATTTCATAGTATCAAGCAATATCTAGTCCATATTCATATTTCCACAATTATTACAATGTGCTCTTTTCTAACTGACTAAAAAAAAAATCCATGATTAAATAAATCCATTCACGCCCTGCATGTAGCTGTTTTGTCTCTTTAGTCTCTCTTTATCTGAAACAGTCCTCGCCACCAGCATTCCACCCCACTTTCTTTTATGACATTGAACGTTTTCAAGTCTAGGCCACTTGAAACCCCTCTGCTTGTTTTCGAATGTGTGTGACCATGCTTGATTTTGCAGGCTTATATTACAAAAATATTATAGCTTTTCAGAAGCACACATATCAGCAACTGGGACAAATTTATTTTTGGGGACTATTGGTTAGACAGAGCAAGACACTGGATCTCCAGTTGGGCACCAGATGTTTTTACTGAGGGAAAGAGAAGCAGTAAGAGCTTTTAAGTCTCACAGGATTACTTTGATCAGAGTGACATCTCATCCTCTGAAATGTATCATGAAGGTTTTCCTTCATATTGGCACGGTGTATGATTCAAGAATCAGTCAGTATAGAACCAGTTTTAAAGACTTGAAAATGCAGTGACAGCCAAGAAGGATATTTTGAAGTTTGAAATGATCCCTATATAAATAGAACGGATCAGCATAACTTTGGGATAAAATTAGCCGACACTTTGTGGTCTCTCCAGCATGTGCCTGTTTGCTTGGTGCCGCTCTCCTGATAAATCACAACCAAGCTTCCCGAGGAAGAGGAAGGATGGACAGCACTGCTCTCCCTGTCAGTACACCCGCAGCTGCCAAGCTAGTTAAGAGAAATTTCCTGGAGGCTCTAAAGTCAAATGACTTCGGAAAATTGAAGGCCATTTTAATCCAAAGGCAAATAGATGTGGACACAGTTTTTGAAGTTGAAGATCAGAATATGGTTTTGGCATCTTATAAACAAGGTAAAAATTATAGGTGTAATTGGTAATTGGTAAAAGTTTTAGGTGTAATTGGTGAAATCGATAGAAGATGGAGTTTTTAAATGCACAGCGTCAGTCGCCCACTCTCAATCAATGACTATTGTTTCTTTAAGTATATATTTTGAAAATATTCCTAATTTAATCTTTTCTTTCTCTTTAAACTAGATTGCGGCATGAATATATATATATATATATATATATACATATATATATATATATATATGTATATATATATATATTTCTTTAAAAAAATTGTGGTCTCTCTTTTTTCTTTCTCTATCCTTATATTTGGAATTTGAAATCCTAGGCAATCATATTGAGTAAAGCATTTTCCTTCTATTTCTAACTTTTATTTTGCCTATAATGACATAGAATAAAGAAAACATCTCTAGATTATGGCTAAAGAGACTGCTCAGTTGGTATGAGTGGCTTGGGGACAGGCAGATAAGTCTCTTTTAACACAGGCACTTAAAGATATGTCATCTCTATGTCCCTCTCTACCAATAAGAGGATTTTGCTCCCATTTGGAGAGTTAATGAATGCATAAGGTTGTGCCTTGATGCATCTTGATAGTTCTCATCATTTTAATGAGTTTTCAGTTTAGTCAGGAAAGCTGAACCAGAAAAAAAAAGTTAACTTTTTTCCTTGAATAATAGATCAAAATTGTAGATATACTTAATACAGATTATCTGTTCTGAAGAACTAAGGACAACAAAAAATCAGAACTGATTGTTTTTTAATCAAGGGACTTTCTGGAACTCATGGTTAATGAATCAGAAATAAATTAGAAGAGTACAGCTTCTGATTTCCCAAATCAGCTAGTTATGGGGGAACTTGAGTAGCGAGGCCATCTGGTGAGCGGACTGCAAACAAACACCATGTTCAACATCACTTCTGTTTAATAAAATAGATAAGGTCTTGTATGTGGCATTTAGAGAGAGACACCCATTCTTTGTTCATGTTTAAAATACGTTCCATGCATATATAAATCATTAGCACCACCAATTTTCAGCAACTAATGCTAAGGGTGTATAGTTCTACATTAATTTACTATACTCTGATTATGAGTTCTGAAGGGTAGAATAGCTGAGGCCAGTTTATAATTTATACTTGAAGGCTTTATAATCAATTAACATTGCTATTTGATTGTAAGATAAAAATGAGGTCTGTTTTTAAAAAAGTCGTTGATGGGGGGGTTCTGTTAAACAGAAAGAGAGGATACTATAAAATGAGGTTACTTTCCTCACATGGATTTGTTCCGTGAAAAGACGATCTGAATGCTCAATACATGTTTAAGAGTTTGTTTGTTTGTTTTTAAATTACAATAGGGCCCAATGTAAAATAACTTGGGTCTAAGTCAGTGGGCAATTTGTCTGGCCCTGAGTTGTGAAGACTGCCTTTTCTCATCTCCTGAGCATGCGGAGGTTCTGAGGTTGAGAAAGGAAGTTTTAGGGGCAGGCTCCAGGGAAGAAAGGTGCTGTTTCTCTTGCTTTCAAAGGTGTCATCCCCCCTAAATGAGAAGAATTTTAAATTCTTTCTGTCAGTGTGAGCCGACTCCTGTGGTCCTCACAGAGCAAACATTTTCATTCATGCTAATGGGTATTTTCATAGTGTTAGGACTATGTGATGTGGCTTTCAATTAGGGAGATAGCAAATTACACCCTCTGGGAAAGGAAAGGAACAGTTCTGTTCTTATGCATGCCAGATGGATGTATGCACAGAAATAATAGGATTTATGGTCATATCTTCAGGGTTGATGCAGGAAATTGTATGTGTCTGTGTGCGTATAGAAAGCAATATACTCACTCTCTGTTGGATATGAATGTGGGTATAAGAATATGCAATCTGAAACCTGAGTTAAAGCCTCCTTTTTTTCATAGTTTCCTCAAACTTTTTCACACCTCTTCCAGCCTAATTATCAAATCTTTTAATATTTTAGTCATGGTGAAGTGATAAATAGAATCCCAGTTGCTAGCCAAGCAAAATAGACCTAAGTGGCTGTATCAATTTCTTAAAGCCACAGAGGCATTCCTAGGGAACAGCTGAGCAGGCTACACGGGTCAGTTAGTTAGTTAGCTAGTTCCTTTCTGAATAATTCTAATGAGACCTTTTTCTGTGCTAGATTCAAGTTTGTGAGGCTTTATTAAATCACAGGAGACTTCTGGACGTGGAATTGTTTTTGACTTTTTTAAAGCACTTTGGAAAGCTCTATGCTGAAAGTATACAAATCAGAAGAGTGCAACCAATTTTCACAAAATAAACAATCCTATGTAACCAGCATCCAGGTGAAGAAGCTGAACATGACTTGTTTACTTTTAAAGTGTGAGAATCTTCCTTCAGGCTTGTTATTTCTGTCTTAGTAAGCAAGACAATGTGTAAAACCTATAACAGATATCATGCTACCTCTAAATTTGCTTGTGTCATGAATAATGTAATCTATCTTCACCATTCGATTGTCCTGTGGAAAATCAACAGTGGCACAATTAATCCCAAACCATGTTTATTTTTTTTAGGACATATCATAGCACTTTTCACAGGATTTCTAAGCGTGACCACGTTTCTCCCCTAAAGATAGTATGTCTAAAGCCAGAATGAAGATGAGGTTATAATTTTTGGAAAAGCAGCTCAGAATTCTATTGGCAAAGAAATCAACTTGGGATGTGAACATTGCTCCCCCAAATCTGCAATCTAATTGGTACACCAGCAATCAAAAGTTGACTTCCTGAGCAAATATAGAAAATTCACTTCTGCTTCCCCATCTCATTGAGGAGCTTCTATTTCCCCTGTGATAGAGAACAGACTTAGAAGCCAGCGTCCAGAGCTCAGGCTCACACTGTGGGACATGCCTAACCCCAGCACCTACTCATGATTCTTAAAGTTAGATCTCATTTTATTGGGTCAAGTTATTTTTAAACCTCATAATTCAATCTTCAGATGAAGTCATGTTTTATTAATTTAAAAAACTTCTCTCACACTTTGTAAAGCAAACATTGAAAAACATTTTGGTTGGCATTTGAGATAAGTCCTCGAGAAGGGCAGAGATATGGGTCTTGAAAGCAAACACCAGTAAGCAAAATGACATCTCCCAGACGATCGCTTTAAAATGGGAAGAAAAGTTAAACACGCGAACAACTTTTTTTAACTTCTAAATGCAATAAATAGCTGAATAGCCCAGGCATGTCAATGATATAAAGTTTATTATATGCCAAGAACACAGTATACAGTGTAAAAGCTGGTTCTCTAAGAAAACTCAAAGCTGTTCAGATTGCTTCTCAGAATAGTGGAAACATGAACATCCATAGCACTGTTCCCAAAGGTTTTCCCAACTCCACATCTCAGTTCTCCCTCAGATGTTTGAGTCCTGGCTTATATACGATCCAGACAGAATATCATCCGTATCTGTTTGGATGAAATTCCCTGGTTAGCAAGGTTAACCAGAGTCCTTTTATTAATCAGTATAATGCAGTCAAGTCCTCTGTTTATGGCCTTAGCCACAGGTTCTTTGGTTGGTAGTGATATTTTTAATTAAAATAACCAATGAATGATTTCACCGGAAAATTTTCTGGCGGGTACTCTGTCTACTTTACTAAGCAGCACCTGCCCTCCAAATATCTTCAACACTCTTATTTTCACTCTCTTCATGAATAATCTCTTTTCCACCTAATTTTCCTGTTTGCCAGAAATTCCCTCTCCAGCTCTCCTATGACCCTTGTGGGGTTCTTTTCCATTCCTTGGTGTTCAAATTCTTCTCTTTTCAATTTTACATGTCAAGCTTACTTTTTTCCCTTCTCTCTCTCCTGGGAAAACTCTGAAATTTATCCCGAAAATATTAGCTATTAACAAATAGCCAAGACTTGTGCTGCGGTCTCTAATCCTTCAGGACTGTGTAAATACATGGACACAGTTGGAGCAAATGTCTGCTAATCCAGCCACGAGCAAGGCATGTAATCTTTGGCTGTAACAGCGGTGGCTTCTCCGGTGTGGGCTCTTTGGACTCAGATAACATCAGAGCTGGTAACTGTTGCAGGGCTCAGGCTTAGCCGAAGGTTTAGCCGAGGTGTGTGCATCCCCCAACCCTGCAGCAGGATCAAGTCTTCTCCCCGAGGATGGCTCAACCCCTCTGCTCCTTGCCAGGTTTCCTGAGCCCGGGGCCTACTCAGCTACGCCCTCACCTCTCTTTGGTTTCTGATTTAAACTAAACACACACGGGATTAGTCTGCACATTTTTGTTGGGGTCAAACTTCTAACATTCCTTCAGAACTGTCACCTAAAGTGACGTTGGTTTTGAAGTGAACTGAATGTTGCCTTCAGATAAGCGAAGGCTAGTTAAAATTTGGGGAAACCAGAATGTGAGTTGGCCTCTGTTTGTTAGTTACTCAAACATGCGGACTTTATGCTACTTAATCCGTACAAGATATTATCCTAGCCCTGGCCTGTTTTGCTCAGTGGTTCGAGTGTTGGCCTGCGTACTGAAGGGTCTCGGGTTCGATTCCCGGTTAAGGACATGTACCTGGGTTGCAGGTTAGATCCCCAGCCCCAGTCGAGATGCTTGTGGGAGGCAACCAATCCCTGTGTCTCTCTCACATTGATGCTTCTCTCTCTCCCCTTCCTTCCCTCCCTTCCACTCTATCTAAAAAGGAAGAAAAAAAGAAAATCCTCAGATGAGGAATAATAAAAAGAGAAGGGAAAAAAAATATATTATCCTATTTGTAAAGTGGAGGCTCTGTCAAGACCCTCTCTAAATCCTGTGCTTGCTGATAATCTCTGAGATTAAGAAGGGGAATTTCAGACACGGATAACATGTCATGGTCTGGGGAAAGGTAAAAGGAACTAGACACTTTAAATTCACATGGCCGTGGCCTGGATTTGAAGTTCCCTGTGGGGTTTTTGCAGAGGAGAAGGAAACTGTGCCCTAGTATCCTCAGTTAAGCTCCTTACAAAAGCAGAGGTCTTCTGCCAGGAGCAGCCACTGATGGCAGACC